ATGTTATACGGTTAGTTGTTTTCACTAATTTTCATGTCTATTTAAAATGACTCTGACATTGAAAAGAACTAGCATTTTTTTAAATCTGCAATATTGAATATTTGTTTAAACACAAATCATGTTTGTTTCACAGTGAAGACAGTAAGTCAAGAGTGTTGTTTCTACGTCATCTCGTGGAAGACCGTTCAGAGTCGGTTATGTCATATTATGAATTCCTTCAGCACTTACAGAAAGAAGTCGGAAAGTGAACAAGTAGGGGAAAGTAACAAAAGGTGCTACCTTAGGGAGTGAATCATGTGACAATGATAAGCCAATCAGAAGCAGAATACCCCTTATGTTGCTCAGTGTAGTAAAACAGTTTGCCATATTCTGGATGATCAGCATTTGAATGTTATGAATTTCTTCCAAAATACAGGGTCATGGAAAGACAATTACATTTTTATTTTAGTTAATGAGGTGAAGGCAAATCTGTAGAATATCTCAAGTTACTGTTAATTTACTTGTAAGTTTTCATGTGCATATGCACCAAACAAAAACAACATTTCTTAACAACTGTACCAACAGACTAAATCTCCTGGACTATTTTCTCTAAATTTTCACTGTATATTTGCTTGCTTTTTTTATGAATTTTTGCCAATCCATATTACCAAGTCATTTTTAACAGTGATATGAGTGCATGAAAATATTGGCAACAACAATTGTAAGGTTAAAAGCACTTGAAGGATGGTCACACATAATTGATACGACTTTGTGTAGTACTTGTTGATGAGGCATGTTGTTGCCATGACAACATTATAATTGTTTTTACTTTGATCTGATTGACCTGTCCCATCATCTTTTAGCGCTTTTTACTGACAATTTGTATTTTTCAGTCATTGCCAAATTTGTTTCTGTGTAAAAAGTCTGCGCTTACAAGTTTGCTTCCTAGCTGTAATGAAGATAGCCATTTTTACAGACCATGACCTTGTTTGTGTCAAGTCGGTATAAACATTTCAAATTGAATAATTTGAATACGTGCAATGTGGGGGAAATGTGCTTGCATTTCAACCAAAGGTATATACCGAATAAGTTTCAAGCATTGAAAGGGTTCTGTATTATAAACTAGAGAAAAAGGTGGGGATATTATCCAGTAAAAAGGTGGCTTTACTCATCTGGAATCCCAATAAAATTATTAAATGGTGTTTCCCTTGCAGCGACAAAATTGAGAAGTTTAAAAAGAGGGTGAATTTTATAAAATGGCATTATACCATATTATGCAAAACTGCATTGAGAAAAAAAAAGTGAATTCCTCTACTATTCTGAACAAAGTTTGTCAAAGACATTTTTAGTGAAGATCGCCCTCAACATGCCTGATTGTACAGTGTTGTAATTATTTAATCTGTCATCAGTTGGTAGTAAAATAAAGTGACTTTGCGTAAAGCTTTTACTCAACTGAATATATGTGCAGTTATTAGCACTATGTAGTGTACTAATTATTGATGAAATTGATTAAATGTAAAGTTTTTTGATTTCTACCATATATCTGAGTTTTTTTAATGACTGGAAATTGTGACCACATTTGTTCTGAGGTACAATGATGAAGAGTTTAATCCTCAATTGGGCTAAAGGCAGAGCTTGAACTTCAGAGACATCGAAGGCCATTACCTTGATGCCTAAGCAGTTTTATAAATATTGCACTTCGAAAAAGTGTGCCTTCTGATCTCAAAAGTTGAAGCCAAGGTTAAAGGGCAGTGGTTATGGCACCATGCATATGCAAGCATTTATGTTGAAATGATTTTTCCACAATCCAGTGCCCTCTCTCCCAGTGGCAAGCTGGAGTTTTGATCTGGCCACAATGCAAGCTAAATACAGACAAATATGTACCAATTAAATGTTGGTTTTGTACATGCCAATCTACACAACCATCAAACTTCCTTTTGGTAATATGGAACCATATCCCAATGACTTGTGGAGGTTCATGGAGGTTCATTTTACACATCCAATCTCTAAACCCTTTTCAAATGGGTGAACCCCAGCTGGAGTTTGTAATAGCCAATCGCGTTTGACAGACTGTTAGTATGAACATGTACACAAGTTTCTGGCCTTGTTTTCATTGTTCACATATTGAAGATATCACGTTGCACTGCATAATCAATTTGTGTATATTTACGGTATGACTATTTTGAACGCAACAAGGTTTGATAACTGACCACTGACATCCAATTCCTGGTAGAGCAAAAGACAAGATGTTTGCTTTGGAGTATTGCAACCCGTTCCATAACTACAAAATTTGGTCTTTTCTAAAATGCATGGAAGTCAGTCTCTACTTTATCTAGATGGTGGGTGGACATTTTGTGCAAGTTGATTATGGCATTCAAAGGATAACTGGCCTTGAATCTTTTCACCACTAGTTCACAAAATAGTCCAGTTTATAGTCTGCACTTTCCTTCAGAAGATTGGGACAAAAAAAGCAAAATTTTTGAAGCAAAAATTGAAAAATTTACTCAAATTTCGGGTTCATTTCCAGAAATATTGAAGAATACAAGAAAAAAAGTGCAGACAAATTTGGATGAGAGTCTGGTGGTGAAAAGGTTAACATGTCTGAAATAAAATAAATTCATGCTATTTTTTTATTTTACTCAAATTATCTGTCCATTGTACGTTTCACATATACGAGACTAAACATTTTCAACACTTGTTTTATCAGCTTTAATAATTTGAGGTGCATTTCACAAAGTACAATAGAATGAAGGTTACAAGAGATAAATTCTGGTAAACTAAGCTTTTAGAAAACAATAACATGGCTGAATATTGCCACAACATAAAAATGCTTTACTTTACATATAGAGGGCGACATACCACGTACAATTCCTTTGCAAGCATAGTTGTGTACACATACCCTTTTACTAAACATGCATAGAAATACAACCATTGGTGTAGATCACAAAAACTGTACAAATATTAAACAAAATAAGTTAAAGTACACGTCTGAGAAATAGGTGCGGTGCAGACACTGAAAAAGAAATAAATATGGCCGCCACTATGAATTATATTTAAATCAAATGATTTTTTTTGTACACTGATAGTACAAAGGAAGGATTTCACATGCCATAAAACAAGTGTCGCAGTATTATCCTTCTTAATGTCGTTCAAAGAGAATTATCTTGTGTCTAGCTTTTAATATGCTATGAATGAAACTAATGATTAACTCTTGAATATTCATTATCTAATGTTTGTACGACATCTAATTACAAATAAAGTGAGAAACTTAATGTTCAGTATTGCTTCTCAGTACAGAACTGCTATGCAATATATGCATAAAAAGTCGTAGGACAATATACTGTGAAATGATTTCTACGTTGGAATCGGAACATTACGCTAGGGTTAAAGTGCAAGTCAACACTAAAATGGTGTTAGCACATGTATGTACATTGTGACTATATTTGAAAAACTAGAATATGTAGATACTTCGGAGGTAATTCAGGTAAACATGATTTTGTGTATCTGTGGGCATAGTAGATACACCATGTAGGAGCAGTAATTTGGCATGAATACTGATACAAAATACATGTAAAATGCTGTTGTGTTGAAATCTGTTCCTCTAAACTAACCAAGGTCAGATTACGGTTACAAAAATGGAATGTGTAGATATTGATTCTCGTGAACCCTTGAAAAATGACGTTGAAATAAATTTCAATAAATATTGTTGCATGGAAAGATAGGAAGGCAAATAGCCTTTATCTAATGTAAAATACTTTCGTGTGGAATTAATTTTCGCTGAAGGAATGATTCAGTGAAAATAAAATCCAGTAAATATACCTTTGTTCCTATATTTTACATTCAACTTGTCAAAAATCAGTGAAAATAAATTCCATACAAAACACCCAATAAGTCTTTCAGCCACAGTCCCTCTATCAAAATTTTCTAGTGAAAATTACAGCTAAAATAAAGTATTTTACAGTTATTGGAGGATCATAGTGTCCAGTCAACAGTATTACATGCTTAATATTTACAGAAATCAAAGATGTCTTTTTCAACTACGTGGAGAATCATTATGTGGAAAACTTTACACAAAAAAAATGTATCAAAATTTGCAGTAACAATGAAGGTACTCAGATCAGAAATTCCAGTAATAGACGCCATGTTGCTCTAGTCAGTTTGAAAGTAATCACCGCATGGCCGAATCAGATGCCTTATCTTCACTTTTCTTATATAACAGTATACAAGTCTGCCCAATCAATATATACTTGGTTGACAGAATGTGCCTGTACAAATTTCTGTTATACATTGTTCAGTAAGTCGGCAGCATGTTTCAAGTGGCAAGGTCCACGGTTTCATCAATGGATTCAAACTTAGCACATTACATGTTGGGAATACAGTATTAAGTGGTATTTTGTTGGTTTGATGTTAATGACATAATTCTCCTTCCCAGGTGAGCATTATGTTGTTGTAGGTATCTTATCATGTCAGCCTGCTTTTCTAATATGTCGTCAAGGTGATCCCCATCCCTGATGAAGAAAAGACACATTACAGGATCATTATATATGTATGGGAAGATGGATTGCAAGATCTTATTCAGTTTATAGTTTTAATTTTTCTTCTGACAATTCAGCCTTTTCATGCAGACAGACAGTAAACTGCATTCAACACAGTCTCTGTGATCAATGGTCGTTTAGTACCTTTATTCAGTAAACACACAGAAGAATAATGTAAAACACTAATAAGGCAAGGCCCAACAAAATATAAATACAAAATATATTACTTCATCCATTCACTTTATTTAAATTTCCAAATGTTTTTTTTTTTTTGGGGGGGGGGGTTTATTTTGGGACAGTTCTGCTGAAACTGGATGTTGGTGATGTGGTGGCAAGATGTATGATTTGGTGTTTGCACAATGGTGTGTTGGAAAAATACACATGATGAAGCAGTGATATCAGTATCAAGCTAGTTGTGAGAAGAATTACTCTATTTGCTTTAAATTACATAAGTGTTTCCATGGTCAAAATAAGCAATATATAATATAATAAAATAAGTAAGTTAAACATTCTCTTTTCCTAGATGGACCAAAAAGTCTGGAATAAAGTGTTATAATAATAACAATTTTAATGACTCAGTTAGTATACAACAAATGTGATTCCTGGTTAACCGAGATATTCGCTTCTAATAGAGCAAATATGGTATTGGTGTTTTATGTAATTTATTTGCACAAAAATATGAAAAAAAAAAATTTATTACTTCTCCCCCTGTGCTTGAACCTGGGTTTTTACTGAAAACATCAGTCTGAGTATGTTTACTTACTTGAAACCAATGTCAGTAGACTGCATCTGTGATTGTAGAAAACCTGACATGAGGTCGTCTTGCTCCACATCAGCTAATGCCTTAACGCTGTTGAATTTCATGGTTTTCACTAGACGGGATAACAAAGTATGAAATGAATTATTTTTGATGTCTATTTAATATTCTTATCCTATACAAAATCAAATAATGGCAACTATAGCTTTATTCAGACTTTTGAAAATGAAAAAAGTAGACACAAGGGTAGGGGGGAAAAAAAACCTTTACCGAGTCACCTGTATGTAGCGTCCCTGCAGATTTTTAAATGGTGAGGTCGTCACATGCGCATGTGCAGGAATTGAGTTCCAATCAACGATACATGTAACAACGCACACTAAAAATGCAAAGACTCATGGGTAGACTTGTTTGTAAACAACTACACACTACGTCAGTTTGCCACGTTTGCATGCACAGACGACTCCCTCCTTGCTTTGATAATGAAGATGACGTGGCAACCAAAAATAATTTGGTATAAAATAATGTATTGTGGCAATATTATACAGTTCGCTGCTGTGTTTTTTGA